ACGAAGGCGAACTCGCCGAAACGTTAGCCCTATAAAGTTTAGAATGCTGGAAAGGCTGAAACAAATAAACATACATATCGGAGAACATTAAGTTCGTACTTGAAAAGCCCAAAGAGCATAGGCTCCCTTACCTCGATGTACAAGCCCGTCAGGAACGCGGGCTCTTCCGGACCAAAGGTACCGAAAACCCGTTAGTAAGAACATCCTGTAAGAGTACACTATAGATCGGGCGTATTCCCTGAATTAGAGCTAGCTATCGCGGACAACATGTTTAGCACGGCATCTTATTCTCATCCGAGAAGCAGGAAGGAACTGTATCTTTGAAGCATGCTAAGTCAATCTCACTCGTTAACTGTAACCCTCCGAAAGATAGATGCCATCCAGACCACCTATTATGAAGCAACAGGCCCCGTGATGGATGGCTCGAAGAGGATAACTTTCTGTATTCTCTACATAATTAGTGGTGTGAGCTCTGTGGCAAAGGCCACCCTGCACAGGTGTCCTGTCCTAGAGGACATGGTACAGTGGTCTAGATCCCCGGCAAGTCATGCGAGGACGAATACATTGGGTAGACTATCGTCCCACGAGACAGGCTGGCTGTCGGTCAACATTGACCGACACTGTCGTCAACGTGTTAAGTTTCCTTCCGAAAACCGCTCACTTCGATATGCAAGACGCTTGAGGCCTTCATCGTCAGAGCCAGGTCCCTAAAAATGAATAGGAAAGACGAGTGCCATACTATAACTAAGGAACTCGCCCCATTTTTCAAACCTTGTGGACTTCTTTTGCCTCTGATCTTATGCTGAGGAATCAGGCACTTTTATGCCATCAGCCATTCCCCTGTCAAATTAGACGTGCTCCAAATCTATTTAGTCGTTTGTTGAGGTGGCTCCAAGGTTTCTGTGATTGCGAGGCTCCGGCCTTCTAGGCTCCACTAAAGCGACAAGGCCGATACATTGGCCGAATAAAGCTTATTGCCTATCTTGTAATTGTTATTATTGTCTTTATTGTCTATATTGTAATTGTTATTATTGTCTATCTTGTTAGGGTTAATTGTCTAGCTATATGTCTTGTTTACAGTTTCATCTCAACCACAATTTCCCATTTCTTCCCATTTTTTCTAGAACGATTTGATGAAATAAAGACTAATTTCTGGTTTATAACTATAGCGCAACTAGATAGAGCACCTCCTGTTGACAGTGTTGTTCTACCCTAAATGGTTTGCTAAATTGTAACGAAAACAGGATGTTTTTCCGGCAGTAATGGTGTCTCATTACAAAATGTGTACAAAGTTGATATGAGAAGAAAAGTTCAGTACTAATATTTACTTGAAGCAATAAATTTCATTTTACCAACCAAACCGAGCAAAATAGCATAGCAAAAAGTCAGCGAAGAGAACACTAAACGGATCTATCAGCCCGCTTTATGCAAAGAACGTAGCTATACCCGTGCACTCTCCGGAGAAGTAAAAACAGCTTCAGGACCCTTCTCGACTAGAACAGTCCTTCTACCAAATAGTTCCAAAAATCAGATAAAATCAACAACATTAGTGAAACTAAACATCTTATGTAATAATGTGATAACATGCGGAAGTTTTCGAAGACTATTTCAGTTCCTTTCTGGCATTTGATTCACAGCTGATATAGATAACTTGGCCTGAAACAACGTGATAGTAGAAAGCAGCTTCAGGAGATAGAGAATTTGACAACATGAAATGGGAAACATGGCCGAATGGTGGCACTGGGAAAAAAGTGTCTGACTCAGAAACAAGCATATGATTGGAATCAGCAGCGAATGAATGTTAGATTTCGCTTTTCCTTATGCCCAAACTAACTAGTTCTAAGCATGAAACAATTTTTCCATAAGAAAACATTAACTGAGAGATCGCGAGACCTGTAAACTTGGACAACTTCTCATCTCGGAGAAAACAAACAAGGTAGGTTGGCAAAAAAAAACAATACAAAACGAGAATTAATAGAATGATAGTACGATGACTGCATTTCACTGAATTATTCAAGGTTTATAACGGGCACCCGCCGCAATGATACTCATAGTTAATCTAATTTTTTATTCTTGTAATACTGTCAATGTATTTAGCACTACAAGGCAATGATCGATAAGAATATCCCAATCCTCACCATTTTCTAATGAAATACGCAAAAACTCCTGTAAACTACTTGATGATCTACCTATTTTGTTGTTCGCAAAACCCTTTCTACGGAAGGAACAGAAAAGCACACTTCTGCAGTTCTCCCGCACTTGCAAATACGTATTTGCATACAAAACTGAATCCCAAATCATCAGGTATTTGCATGCAAAACTGAATTCCAAGTCATCGGAGAGAAAAATCACAGGTATAATCTCTCTAAGCGACGCAGCGGCAAAACCACAGAGTAAAATTTGCACATACTTAAACTTACAAATACCCATTCCATGTTTTGTTTCACACTTGCTTGATCGTGGATGTTTCAGTTACATCAAATGAAATGGATGAAGACTAAATACTAAAGCGCTTACCTTAACAGTACTTCCACTCTTTTTCTGACAGCTGTCGTGATCTTCATACTTTAACCAGTCGAAAAGCGGTGTCGTGCACCCCGCAGGTACTTCAGCTCCAAGAAGCTTATTCTTCAGAACTTGTCTGAAAATGTAAGAATGGTGAAAGAAAGCAGTGTCACATGGAAAAAGAGAAAAGAGTTTAAAGAAACTAAGGGAACTTGTTACACACCACTAATAAGATACGTTTTTTGCAGATAACGTACCCGATTCTCATATTTCCTTCTTCTGCGCTCCAATCTTTTGTCCACATACTGATCTTAAATACATAAGCCGTTAAATATCTGAACCAGGCAAATCGGAATGCAACCTAGCACCTTGCTCCCTTTGCCGCGGACATTGCAAACCAAACCACAAATCAGTTCCATATCATCACCAAATTGTTCGCCAATCATTGCGATCAAAATTTCCAACCAAATCAAATCCATTATCTCTCCTGGTCGTCCTTTCTCAATCTAAAACCGGGGAATAAGAAAAACCCCTATATCCAATCAAAAACAGCGAGATCGAAGATGTAGAAAACAATCATCATTCAGGCTAATGTTGGAATTTCGAGAATCAACGAACCGTGATGAGCCATCGCCCTCCCTTGCGATTTTCCGGTACTTCCCACATTGGTTGGATGCCATACTTAAACACGTTGTAGTCACACAAACAGTTCAACCCAGAGGGGGGTCGGATGTTGTTGTAGAGCCTGAAACCCATGACGAAGCAATATTATACAAAACTGGATGAGATTTAGATGTACTGCTGCCGATTGCGCAAGTCGACAGCCATGGCGGTTCAACACTTACGCCCAGAATTCCTCAACAGTGCTGAACGTACAAACAGGTTTGAGACGGTCTTCCCAACAAGCCTGACGATCATCATTCAAATACCAATATGTCCATTTCTGCTTCAAAGGATGGAGTACCTGGAATTGATGAATCCGCTTACTCTTCTTCTCCCACGACTGGAGCAATGAAGAAACACGGAAAATACATATGCATGAATTTGATGAAGCTTAAGGACAAGTCTTCAATCCCTTCTAGCTAGGTTGGCAGGACAAATTTAGTGGAAATTTCAGCGAGATCAGAATTAGGAACTAGAAATCCTGCCCGATATTGCTCTCGCATAATTACGCTTCGAGTTACCGCTAAGTGTCACAGTATTGCTATATCGAAAAAATGAAAGCAAGACATTTTCATTAATCGTTCAAGAAAGCCGAAGAAATCGCGAAAGGTATCGGTTACCTATCGATCGAAAGGATCGGACGAAAAGGAAAGGTTCAGGAATCTGTGAGAAAAGATCAGAAACTGTTATATCTCCCAAAATGTCGGAAGAGCGAATCAAAATGTGAACCTAATCTTTCATTTTGTTTCACAGTGTCTAACTTACTTTGTTTCCAACGAAAAAGGTAGGATATATGAGAGAGACATCATGAAAAAATGAACGAATAAATAAACGACGATTTGTTCTGAAAGCATCCATCGTTTTCCGCACAAAACAATGTGCTGCTTTTTGCGCATTTTTCAATACACTGCATAATCAAGGAATCATTTGTTGAAACTCATCAAAAAAAGCTCAGCTGCAACGAAGAGCTGAGCTCTGCTTCCAGAAAAAACTGAGCTCAACCTCAGGCTACCGCTTCACTTCCAACAACTCATCCTGATCCTCAAGTTTTATTCAGTCATGAACACTCTTTTCCATTGCAAAAGATTTTTCATCTCCAAAAAAGATTCCCTTCCGTTAGACAGCCACTAATCTTTTCCCAACTTTCGAATCTACGAACTGTGCAGTTATTCACACAAAAGTACACCTACGAATTATTATGAACCAGCTCAACTATTTTAGTTTAGAGAGAAGAATCTTAGTACCAGCTGCTCCGAAACAGTGCATTCGGTCTTGTCCTTCTCCTCCTTGTCAACTTCCTCATTCACCTCACTCTGACTTTCATGGTTATCCGAGTCAGACATAATTGAAGGCAGAGCACTGAAATGTTCCACATTAAGAATAGCCGAGCACTATGCCACATCTATCTCACTTAATACGGAGAATCAGTTCATTTCACTGAAGAATACTTGTTTTCAAATATCCTAAAATTTTTTTGCTAGTTTACAAGAGCTCTTGCTTTGCACAAAGCCCTTCTGTAAATATTAGGTTGTAAGGAAAGTTCTGGCCGTTTTGACAGCTAACTTTTAAAAAGTTATAACTCATCTCAAAACCACACATTTTCGCCAACGTGATACAAGTCTATTTATCCCATTCTTATAAAAGTCCGGAGATCTGGATTCCAAGATCTCGAGAAAGGCAGCTTCCACGTGGCCTTGATTTTTGAATACTCGTTCCTTTAATAAGTTGCCCAGATGTTTGAACAAATGGTAGTCAGTTGGTGACAGGTCTTGTGAGTAGAATGGATGAGGGAGAGCTTCTATTCCCAGCTCGTTCAGCTTCTGGAAGCAGTTTGTGACACATGCGGTTGTGCATTGTCGTGCAAGAGCAGTAGACCGTGGCGATTGACTAGTGCTGGCTGCATTTACCCCAGTTTTGTGNACTTCTCGTGAATTTGATCACAATAGGGCTGTGCGGTGATGGTTTGACTTGGAAGAAGAAACGCGTAGTGAATTAATCCACCAAACTGTGATCATTTTCTTCGTGACGTGTAAACCTGGTTTGGGAAATTTTTTGGAGGCTCATCCACACTCACCCACTGAGCAGAACGCTTCCTGTTATCATACAGGATCCATTTCTCATCACACGTTACAATACGATGGAGAAAAGGCTCAACATCATTACTTCTCAACAGCGAACTTGAAACTTCTGAGCGCTTCAATTGTTGCTGCTCCGTGAGTTCGTGCGGCACCCACTTTCCAAGCTTCTTCACCATTCCAAGCTGCTTGAGGAGGGCAGCGAGAAGTGTGTGGGAGACAACCATCTTCTTGGCAATCTCCCTCAAAGGTTGACGTCGATCATCTTCGACTGCTCTTAGCAAAACATCGTGATCAACTAACGATGGTCGACCAACTCGCTCTTCGTCTTTCAGTGACTCGTCTCCACTTCGACACTTCTGAAACCAGCGACAAACCGTTCGCTCCGCCGCAGTGCCTTCTCCCCACGTAACATTGATGTTTGTAGCTGCCTCCATCGCAGTTCGACCAAGTTCGAACTCGTGAATAAAACCATTTAAAAAGTAGTCTTATCTATTCTGCCAAGAAAAACCTCCTAAAAATTCCAAAACCTTACAGATTCTGGGGAAAGCGCTATGACAGAAAGAGCAACTAATGACTTGCCTAAGGAGCACAATATGACCATTAACCTGAATGAACATCCGCCAAAATTTTAATTCATATGGCACATACGTGGGAACGGCCAGAACTTTCCTTACAACCTAATACTACTCAGTGGTCATGTGAGTCCTTGTACTTGTGTTCTCCATGCTTGAATACATATATCTCGAACCCAACAGGACTTAGGTGACTGAAGAATCACTACAGAAACACTTCACTTCAAAAGAAAAGAGTAGACTGCTGGAAGTCGGACTTAAAGTGTCTAACTAAGCGGAAGCTGTTCAAGCTTCACGAGAAGTTCTTAGCATTGCCTCTATGAAGACAAGAGGTTGTGAAGAGTAGGGAAACATCATGTCCATAGTCCAGCTCGTTTCATCTCAGTTGTGGAAAGGCCTCGTAGGAGATTCTTTCTGTAGAGCAAAGCCGTCCACAGGGTAGAATTTCAAAACTGACCGCTTCCACCGAATCTGATTTGCCGTTAACAGTCCCTCCTATAACGAATAAGCGTAAAAAAACCAAAAAGTTTGGCATAGCCTTCATTTGGTGTAGCCTTCTATAGCAGAAATGCGGAGCTCAAGAGGCTAGAATCTTACACCTTTAAAATGGAAGTTGCGCTGATCTCTCCTATTCGAGTTGCATCCATGTCCTTTTGGATTCTTTTACTTTCTTAAATTGTTTATGATGTTTTAGGCTTTGCACCTGATCGAGAATGAAGCCCCAAGACAGCTAGAGATTCGAGGTTTAAGTTAACATACCACAAATTTCTGAGCCAACACTGCGCAATTTATTTAATGGTGGTTTCGAAGAAAGACATGTTGCTGATAAGACAAGCTGTTTCAACTACTTTGCAAACAAGAACAAATGGAAGCCTCATAACCACTGTTACTTGAAGCCATAAAATCTGACTAAAATTCAAAAAAAAAAAAAACTGCTTCCGAATGGTATGCCAAAATACCCTCAAGAACGTTCCCACCCATCTCATGAAATACATCCAGCTATGTTTTATACTGTTTTGCTCTACGGTCTGCTATCTTAGCGCATTATCTGGTAAAAGTTTCGAAAAAAATTGTCGTCGCCAAGAACCTGAAAGTCTTCAGAAGTAAGACGGGAACGATACTGAGCATACTCATCAGATCACAATTGGAAGGTAAAAGACGGACATGATGTAACACAATCCGCACCACTCAAGAGGCACCGAAGGAGAGGATATCAGAGCAGTGACTCAAGAGTTCTAGTCTACAAAGGCGGGACGAGTGTTAGAAAGATATGGAAGCACAACATATTCCTGTATGAATCTATAGCTGAACAAAGGAAACGGATGCATGGCTGCAATAAGATAACTTCCGCTATAAATACCCTTCTTGCGAGCATTCAAACCAATGCATATTTCATATCTTACGACAAACCTACTCGTCTTCTTATTTTGCTCATACGATAGCGGCCTTGCCTCATTTGTCTGTTGTTATTCGGTTACTCGAGCGAAGATGTAAACGCTGGAGTGATAGCAGGTGGACTTTCTGGCTGGGATCTTCAGGTTTTTTGAAAATAACTTTACGAGTCCGTAGTGTTTAAGCACTTGACTCAGTAAGCTAGGAGCACAATCTCCGAAACACTTACACGCACTTATTGGCGATGACTCTCGCTCAAGTTGGACCGAACAGAACTCTATCATAACAAACCTGGACGGCAAAGCAGAAGAAATTCAACCAATTTAGGACTTTAGACTGTGATCATTCTATAGTTTATTTCCGCACACCACCAAAATTTTCAACATGCTCACCACTTCAGACGCAGACCGAATTATTGAAAATCACATGAGGGTACAGGCTGTATAACCACTTGCGAGCCGTGATCACCTTGAAATTTCTGATTTCCGGCCAATTCAGTCAACACTTTCCTGAGAGTGTTTCTTCCGATATCTTCGTTGTACTGGAGTCCTGAGATTCGTTACCGAGGAAGGAGAGGCAGTTTTGAATTGGCCACCTCGAAACTTGCCTGTAGACTATCGGCAGGCGATGCACATCCGCGATCAAGATATTTTTACAAGTGAAACAACTTCAATGCAAAACGAGAACACAAAATCGCTCAAAAAAGCAATCGAGAAATACCTAGAAAAACGGCCTGCAATTATCAGGTGACTGACTGGCTTCATTTCAGAAAGACTCCTAAGCGAGACTTATACCGAGCTACTCGTGTTCTTGCATTCTTTTCACTTACATCAAAACTAATCCAATAGCTGTGCGGGACTAAATGCCAGCGATAACATCCACTTTATCCAGCAGTCTCTCACAACCGAAACAAGATTAAAACAGGGCATTCAGACCTTTGTTCGAATGTATAAACACATGTGCCAGCTAGATCGATCCACGTCATATGATTAATGGAAAACCATACTGTTCAAAAGAAAGTGCGCCAAGAAATCAAAGCAGTCCGCACCGTTAAAAAACCGACTGTTAGTAACAGCACGGCTGAAAGAACCCATGTTCATCCAGAAAATCTTTCCCAAATACATGCACCACGTAGTCACCCTCGAACCAAAAAACTCAACTTCTCTAGGACATGACTCCGAGCTACTTAACTGCTTTCGCGAATTTGATATGCGCGAAAATTGATTCTATACTAACCACACATATAAGTAATAAATGATTAAAGCAAAAAACACTCACCAAGCGAAAGTATTCTTCGGAACTTTCTGTCAACTGTGGCACAAGAGTGGTCGGTCACCAAATTTAAAGGGTACGATGCAGTGGAGCGACGACTCGTAAATAGAGCGCGAAAAACTTCATAGACGTAGTGACTTAATGCGCCTCCAAACAACACTCAGCTGCCAGCTGTCTTAAGGATTTACCTTGTATCACACTCTACAACTGACTTTCTGGAGTCGCGTTTTCATTCATCATTTATATTCGACTTTCCTTCTACAGCCAACAATTTTGAAAAGTAGTTAGAACGCGTTTGTAATACAAAACGCTGTAGCGGTTCAGGAAAGCTTTTCCACGAGTCGTATATTTGATGGGTTTGGGTCTTACCTATTCACTCGAGGCTATGTCGTGGAATGAAATAGGTCGTTTGTGGGATTCTACGTTCACACCATTTTATTCGACCTTAAGTTCACTGGAAGGACCTGCCTCCCACTGTTTCCATGCTGAATATTAGTTCATGTCTTCGGAAGCAGGTTCTAGATGGCTCGGAATGTTACTCGGAAATGTCTGAGAATTCGTTGCAGTTATAATACTACTTGGCAGCAATCTGGAAACGAGCAGTGACGATGCACGTTGCCAACTGAACACAGGCAGTAGGAAAGTAAGCTCGCGTGCGAGCGTGCTTCATTTCTGCTTCTGTGTAGAACCGGTAGGTATTGACTTATCTATCTGCTATTCAACCGAAGAAGACGAATATTCGCCAAAACAGAATAGGAAATTACAAGGAAACAAGAAGTACAATGAGTATAGGCAAAAGCACATGTATACAAAGGCATACACAGAGAGATTGTTCCGGTGGAAAGATGATAGTTGTGGCCAGGGCTCCGCCGCCGGGATGGGGATGGAACCGTGGATGTCGTCCGCAGGCATCGAACCTCGTCGACTTGCTCCACTCCTATTGCTCACTATTCCGCCTGAAATTCTTTGGTGATTCATCTGAAAATATAATCATCTGATCGCCGCACTAGCACAGCGCGGCTCATACCTCCAAGGGTCGTAGAGCTTCACTCCAGTTATGAAGATGAAGGGTCGTCAGCTAGGCGACATTTGGGTTAGCGATTCCAAGGAATTCGCACTTTCATGGCGCAGAACCGGTGATCGAGTGGTGGACTGCGGAGTCCGACTTATACTTTCGGATCACGGCCATGCGGTCGCACCAGTAATTCGTCGTCCCCGTGCGACAGACGTAGACGCAGGAGTAGTTACCTCTAACCAACTACACGCGCAACTCCTAGCAGTAGAGTTTCCAGTAGGATCAGCAGTTTCTTCACTTTTTCATCACGCATTGTCAGTTCTCAGCACGGGGCAGTCTTCTTGCTTTCGCTCCCCACATATCCTTAGCCGCTAACCCAATACTTACTCTTCGCAACCTCTTGGGGCGTGATATCGCGACTTCTTCACTGGGTAGCAACTTTGTGCAAATTCATCGGTGTATGGCAATCCCCGCAAATAATTTAAAGCTTATACCTTTCAGTGGCACTTATTTCTGCGAACCATTAGTCAAGATCATTGCGCCTTCAGGTACCACCGTTTTATCCTTTTTTGATTCTACCACCTTAGTCTCTTCACAACAAGCATCTCCAGTTGATCGTTCGACAGTATGTTATTTTTATCTCCAACCTGAAAACTCTTTTCTCAACTTTGACTCCTTGAGTGGTCATTCACAATTGATTCCTCATACTATCATTCCAAACATCGGTATCCCGTCTAATTTTGATTCTTCTTCCCTCGCTCTTCCTCTCACGATTTTTCAAAATCTTATTTTGATCACTCTTAGCGAAATGGTCCAGGAAGAACAGTGGTGGGAGTTGTGGTCTGCCGTATCAACTGACCGTCTTCCTCGAATTCGTCTAGTTGATGGCAAAACTTACTTTTTGGCTCAGTGTCGCATAATTCCCATTAAGTTTCACTTTTGTCAACATTACTTGGTCAACGGTCAACCTGTGCGTTAATTGTTGCGGCTTCACTGTAACGTTTCACAATCTTCGTTCCGGATCACGATCACGAGAGCAACTCCCGTCATCTTGTACTCCTGTTTCTCGACCACTTCCATTGACCACTCGCTGCTACCAGTAAGCTTGTGCGCACAGCAGAGCGTGCTTCATTTCTGCTTCTGTGTAGAACGGGTAGGTAATGACTAATTCATCTGCTTTCCAACCGAAGATGGCGAATATGCACCCAAATAGGATAGGAGTTCACAAAGGAAACAAAAAATACAATTAGTATAAGCTAAAGCACATCTATACAAAGGCATATACAGAGAGAGATCGTTCCGCTGGGGAGATGATAGTTGTAGCCAGGGCTTCGCCCCCGAAATGGGGATGGAACCGTGGCGGGCGTCGAACCTCGCCGACTCCTCGCTCCAGTGTTCTTGCTCGCCACTCTGTCCTGAAATTCCTCGGTTATTCATTTGAAAAAATAATCATCTGATCCTCGCGCTAGCATAGCACGGCTTACAGGAGACGGCATTGCTGACAGGAACAACGACCCATCCGTGTATTAGTGGGTCGTTGTTCTTGTCAGCAATGCCGTCTCCCATATATCTCACTAATCCCTCTCGAGTGGCTTCTCGAGAGGGCGGGCGGAGCGCTGGGTTAGGCTTGTGCTGGCCTTGTGATTGTAACTTATGCACAGCGAGGTACAGTCTAATCCATCCACGTTTCTCTTTTCCTTCGTAATAAATCCACTGAACTACCGTTTTTACTGTCGCATCAAAAGGGTGATCACCCACGTCTTCAGCACCCATCCTCGCCATCAGGTGCATCGCCAGCTAAATTTCCCGCGTAAAAGGGTAACATCTTTGAGGCCTGGTACGAAGGCAGCCCTTTTCATAAGCACATTTCTACGACCTTCTTCAAGACCGCAAATCCAAAATGATTCGCGCCATAGCAGGGATATCTCCCCCTGTACTATTATGCGTATGTATGTACATATACATATATAGCTACGAAATTTGCAACTAAATTTTATCACCGCTACAAAGTGGTATTAACCAAATCAACGGCGAGAGGGAGAACCTCAAACAAATTCATGATAAGAAGGGAAAAGTATAAAGTTGCAAAAACACGTCAGACATGAAGGATTTTATGCTAAAAATTGAACAAATTGAAAACGAGTCCCAGTTGCATAAAGAATTGGTTAGTGCAGACGAGCTTATTTTCGTTCTAACTGCACGACATCACGTCAAGTGCATAAAAAATAATATGAGCGTCAAACTTGGCTTCATTTCCCAAAGTCAGTCTTTTTGTTGTGTTTGCTTATTATTGTTTTTTATGCCCCAGTGACTTCAATTTATCACGCGTTGCTTATTAGATGACTGGTTTTTGCTGGACCACGAGGGAAACCTGTGTGCAACGAAGTATCAATCCGTTTGTCGGGCTTTATTTGTTCTTCTCTCATCCTGAGGCAGATGCCTCGTGCACCAGTGGTGTTCTTTGCGGGCCTGTGGTTCGAGAATCCTCTAATGACCTTTTATTTTATGCTTAATTCATGCTCATTATGTTGTATTGTATGTATTAAACTGTATGTACTGTATTAAACATGTATTAAACTAGGATAAATGCCTTTATACATTTGTAGTGCTCTGGTTTTTGTATGATAAACAACCCAAAAGCATGTAAAGGATCCTGCTTTGAGATGCAGGATAAGTCACACTCGATCGTCAGGCTAGCTGTTCACTTACCTGGATTCCACGGTTTTATTCGTGCAAGGTGATCATGATCATACACGTAAATCATTTACAACTCTTACGGCATACTTCGAGCTAAACATGCAATATGCCTAGATGGGTGACAATTTACATCACGACTCTGCGACTGATCCCATGGAACTTTACTACTACCAGCTCCCTGGGTATTCACATTCAAGCCACGTCGTGGTCGGAAAGCGAGGGAACGCTTCAGAAAATATATTGGAAGGATGTACATCGTTCCGCCTCGAGACACCGAACGATATTGCCTCAGAATTCTGCTACTGAACAGGAAAGGTAAATTATTTTTTGAAGATCTACGAACAGTGGACGGCGTTACATATGGAATTCCTCGATGAAGACAGATGCTCCCGGCAGAGCGTGCAGGAGGAAGCTCACTACCAGTCAGCAGCATGCCTCCAGAGTTCTTTTGCCTGCTTGCTTTAATTTGCGGAAGTGGTTCATGCCCAGGATTTGTGGAACGAATTTGCCCAAGCAGTGTCAGATGACTTCATCTAGCAGAGAATCGAACGTGAGCTTGCTATAGCACATGCGTACTTTGATGTGCTGTGCTCGAATGGCAGTTCTAGGCATCGATTTGCGTGAGACCGTTACTCCTCCCATTGCTGAACGTCACGTAGCACCTCCTGTGACGGTGGACCATGAAGAGCACGAAAGGAACGGTATGCTGCAATATGAAACTCTCAATACAGAACAAAAGGCCGCCGCAGACGACATAATCGATGCACTAGACAGACCTCACAATCGATGCATTTAGACGGACCTGGAGGAAGTGGGAAAACTTACTTATACAGCACTGTATACAACATTGCTGTTGGAAGAAGACTTGAAGTAGCTTGCATCGCTTGGACAGGAACAGCTGCTAATCTCCTGCCAGGAAGGCGAACAGTTAATTCTATTTTAACCTCATCATTGCTGGTTGTAACCGAACCTTTACTATGAAACATGAACAAAAGGAAGATAGAGAGCTGTTTTCAACGGACATTATAATCTCGGCCGAAAGTTCTATGACACCAAAAGTCACTTTGGAAGCTGTCGACACCCTTCTAAAGGATATCATGCGAAACAGTGAACCGTTTGGCGGGAAGAAAATGATTATTGATGGAGATTTCCGCTAAGTCCTACCAGTAGTCGAGCATGGTGGAAGGCAGGACTCCGTTGAAGCCTGCGTTCACAAATCCGCTCTTTGGTCGTTGTTTACCATTCACCATCTGAGCGTCAACATGAGAACAGGAGACGATGGAAACGACTGACATAAACGTTCCCTTGGAATAGGCAACGGAGACAGCAACGATGCCGACGAGTGTGTACAGATGCCTGAAGAGATGATGTGCTCTTCGAATATTGTTACGGAGACATTCGAAGCCACCCTCGACGAGGATAGGACGTCCGAATTGTACGAATGTGCCATCCTTGCACCGAAGAATGTCCACGTACAGCGCTTAAATACCACAGCCCTTGGCCGTCTGCGTGTAGAGAGATTTGAGGACGAAAAAACTTACAAGTGTCGATAAAGCTATTTACTTGGAAGGGCAGTAAAACCAACTTTCCCAGCAGGAATACGTGAATTCCTTGACACCCGCTGGCATGCCACGCCATGAGCTGCGTCTCAAGAGAGAGACTCAAGAGAGTTGTTATCTTTCTGAGGAACCTCGAAGTGACAAATGGATTTTGTAATGGAACACGATTGCGAATCGAAACACAAAGACGTTTCACACTCGGTTACATATTCATCGGCGGGGACGGAGCAGGCCAGCTTGCCATCATTCCAAAAATGGACAACTACTGGGAAAAACAGGTCCTTTTTCGCCTTCGCAGACGACAATTCCCTGTGCGAGTAGCCTTTGCAATGACAATTAATAAAGCACAAGGGCAGTCTTACAACAAAGAGTGTGTATATCTTCCACAGTATGTTCTTGATCACTGCCTATTATACGTTGCTCTTGCGTGCGAGGACTTCCAGTGAAATAAGAACCAACTCATTTAAAAATGCAATCAGGAACATTGTATTTCCTGAAGCTCTACTATGAGCATTCTTATGTCTGTCCAGGAAAGGTATTAGTGCTTTCACCTGACGAAATTATTATTGAAATTGCTGAAGCGACCACTCTTCCAGAATCACATTTCTTCGTAAAAATCTCAAAATGCCGTCCGTCAAAATCTTCTATAAAGCGAGTGTTCTCTGAATATAGGTTTTACTCCGCATTTTTAAAATCGTCACGTATCCATCGGAGTAACTCTCTACACAACAACGCTCCAGTAATTTCCCACAATGAAAAAATTGCTATTTTTTTGCATCAACATTCTGTCCACATTGCCGCCTTTGCTCCTGCACAAAAGAGTATTTCCATTGTACCCTTTGAAGTGGGTGTCCGCAAACTCCAACTTGTATTTTTAAGCTTTCCCAAAAGTTTTTGGGGTCATTCTTTCCCAAAAAATCAAAATCGATTTCCACTTCTGCGTCAAAATCTCGCTCCACATCGCCGTCATTTCGTTTGCACACCGTATACTTTCCGGTGCCTTCTCCGAAGTGGATGTCCACTCTGCATTCTGCATTCCTTAGCTTTCTCTAGGGGACACTAACTACACAGTAACGTACCAGTCATTTCTGAAGATGTCACAATTGCCCTACTTCAAAATTAACATCGCCCTTTACACCGCCACCATTTTGCCTACACAAAGTAGACTTACAACTGTCTTCTTACGAGTGGGTGTTCTTCTCGAAGGTCGTTCTCAAAAGCCTTTCAGAATCAGTCTTTCCTAGAACATCAAAATTGAACTCTACTCCAGTATCGACTAATCTCTCCATGTCGTCCATATTCCACCTGTATACCAGAGACTTTACATCTTTCTCAAATGGGTGTACACCAGAAGTTTAATTGATTCTGCACTTTACCTTTCTGAAGGGTCTTTTGGCGTCACTACTCAAAATGTCAGAACTGCTTTACTTTAGCAAGGACCGCTCCCCACATCGCCATGAGGCTTTCCATTCTCCTCAGGTGGTGTCCACCAGATGTAAAAAATTTCTGCAGTTTTTTCAAAAATCTTTCAAGATCGGCTCCCCCCAAAACATAAAATTTGAATTCTATTTTAGCAACCACTTCTCTATCCATACTTCGTCGTTTTTTCGTCTGCGGAAAAGAGTCCTCCCGTCATTCTTTTTTAAGTGGGTGTCCACTAGCAGTAAATTTCATTTTGCATTTCTCAGACTTCAGAAGTCGCTCAGGTTCAGACTTTCCCGAAACATCGAAATTGATCTCTATTCCAGCATCAACACTTTTCTCCACACCACCGTCATTTTGCCTGAACACCACAGTTTTCCAATTGTCCCCTCTTTTCGAGTGCCCACTAACTTTGGCTCCATTCTGCATTTTTTAGCTTTACAAAAGTCTTTCGACATCATCTCCAACGGAGTAACGCTCCTTCTGATTTCAAAATACCAAGTCGAACAATTCTAACATCAACATCGCCGTCCCCATCGCCGCCATTTCGCCTGCACACCAGAGATTTTCATTCTTCTCAATGTCAACTATATGCAAAGAAACATCTTCTGCAACTTTCTCGCTTTGTCAAAGATCTTTTAAAATCAGCCTCTCCCAAACCACCAAAACTGAATTCTATTTCAGCAACCACATCTCTGTCCGTACTTCGTCGTCATTCTGTCAGCACAAAGCGAACCTCCCGTCGTTCTCCCTAAAGTGGGCGTCCACTAGCCGTGAATTTCATTTTGCATTTCTTAGACTTCAAAAGTTGTTCGGTTCAGACCTTCCCAAAACATCGAAATTGATCTCTATTACAGCATCAACATCTTTTTCCACATCACCGTCATTTTACCTGAACACCAGTCTTCCAATTGTCCCTTCTTAGGTAAGTGCCCACTAGCTTTCGTTTCATTCTGCAGTTTTTAGCTTTCTGAAAGCTTTTCGAGATCATACCTAACAAAGAGGCGTTCTTTCTGGTTTCAAAATACCAGAATCAAACAATTCAAGCATCAACATCGCTGTCCACATCGCCGCCATTTCGCCTGTGGCTAACGCAGACTCTCCTTCATTCTCCCGAAGTGGGCGTCCTTTTGCTGTACGTCCCATTATGCAATTTTTGGCTTTTTCAAATGTCTTTCCTGGTCTGCCTTCGCCAAAATTTCGGAAATTCTCTCGAGGACCCACTCTACACAGTGTATAATTTTGCGGAGTGGCACAGCAGTATTTTATTTTGGCACCCACGCCTACATCGTCGTCATTTCGCGTATCTACAGGGGGTGTGCGAATAAATTTTCGATCGCACCTAATCAAACCTCAACTCGCCTCGCACCTAGGCGCGAAGTGTCCTTAATTAGGTGCGAAGACTACGCTATAATTGTGCTGCCCGCACTCGCTGCTAATCGAGTTAAAACTTCTCAACTAAAGAGGATAATGAAGTTAAAAAAGGTACAGTTTCTCTTTGAAAAATTAGTTTTTCGGAAGGAAAAATTCTAATATCAATTTCAACGGTTTTGAGAGTTTTATTTACACGAATAATAAGTAAGTTCAATATATTTCACTTCAAGCTCCTGAAAAATGGGTAAAACAGTTTAGTTCACTTCATTTTTCGGTATTTTCGCTTTTTTGCGATATCAAACAACCTTTACAGAAGCGATGCAGTTCTCTAAAGTTGCTCAGTATTGGGAGTACTCTTCATTGAGAGGTCATTGAACGCCCTACGGCTCACCATGCTGGCCATTTCACAGTTTTTACGGCATTGAGAAAGTCTTCAGGCTAAATTCAACATTTTGAGGAGAGGTCATCGAGGACTATTTAACTAGTTTGGTGGATGCTTTAACTACCACTGCTTACTTTATAAGACATTACCATGTATTATGGAGACACTCTGTACTGTTTCGATGAACTTACAGGGTGTCCTCCCGGTCCAAGCCATCTAGGAGTGCGCGGTTCATGTGGCCCATTTCCTCCACTGCCCGAGCTTCTCACTTTTGCCCTAGCACTGCAAAATAATTTTTCGGAAGTTGTGCTTTACACAGCCTCGCCCAATGCAGCTGGATCCCGCATCACAACCTTCGCCTTACACGTTTCCTGCACCCGTACAGCCTTCTCCAATGCAGCTGGATCCCGCATCACAACCTTCGCCATGCACGTTTCCCGCACCCCACAACCTTCTCCGATGCAGCTGGATTCCGTAACACAACAATCGCTCTGCACTTTCCTGCACCAACGCAGCCCTCCCCCCCAATATAGAGCAGAACAAACAACCCCCTTAGAATCGCTCCCACATTCTGTAAATACACTTCTTCCTGAGCCGCAGCTTCCCACTTTAGCAGAATTCACCTTTGACTAAAGAGTCGCGACCAGGGCGGTTCATGGTAGAGAGGCAAGTGAGTAAAAAAAATAAAAGTAGAGTTTTGATCTACAGAATTTCAGGTACAGAATATGCATATAGTTTTGAGAAGGTGCGTACGAACAAAAGTGAAGAAGTTTCTTGTTGCATTCTGTTTAGAGGGGAGAAAATAGACGTAGAAGTAAATCAATGGGACCTGCCATTAAAGTAAATAATGAGACTTCGCATTGGTTTTAAGTGTAGAACTTGAATGAGCTTACTACATTATCGACATTCAGGTCATTGGTGATGAATTTATGAGTGATCCGTGCATTCTGGCCTATGAATGTAGCCCTGCGAAATATGTAGAAGAAAGGGGAGCGAAAGCTGTCCACGAGGTAAGCTTAGGCAACCTGTGGAAATAAGGGCTCAGTTCACTACGTGTCTTTTCAGGAGCTTCAAAAGATAAGGGAGGACTCCAGTTACGCCGGAAAACAACCTGTTCAGGTTTTCGTAGATGTCATCGCCAAAAATAGAGGTACAGAGAACGGTGACATAAATATTATACCTAGTATTTATGGTCAAAGCTTCACTTTAGCACAGTTTTGCAGAAGAGATTGCGGATGGAATCGGGGCGATAATTCGCAAGCAGGTTATAGATCAAAAAGGCGAGGTATATAAAAGAACATAAATCTATGGCAAAACCGCTCTGTAACGATGGAGAACGTTCCGGAAGAATTTCGCGTCCTTCAAGATGGCTCGCTGATTTTGCAAGTGCAGAAGGCAGGGTTCCACGTCTACCACTCTGCGAAAACCATCCAGGTATAGGTAGCAGATGTAGTAGCCGTTCTGAAGGAAAGTTTTTATCATGCTTTCAGATGGCGTGCGAAAATGGTCTTCACGCGATCGTAGCTGATGGAGTGCATTCCCTGCACATAAAATGTTTGGGACGTTATGCGCAGTTGTATTCTCTCCATGGAGTATGCAGCCATGAAGTAGAAATACCGTTAGAGTTCTGCATAACTGAAAAAAACGCCCGAGGTCTACTAGAAAATATTCGAGCAGTTGAAACGGAACATCGAAGGAGAAGGACCTCAGCGCGTAAAAAGCAGCCTCAGCGCGTAAAAAGCAGCCATACAGGCCGCCAAACTCGTGTTCCCGAGCGCTACTGTCGAACGATGCGCACTCCACCTTGCGCAAGCTTAGAACCGCAAAAAGGATTTTTTGATTTTGCAGGGATAGTGTTCCTTCCAGCTGGGCTTCTCTCTTGTGTACAAGCACTTAGAGGCCTCTTGTGCCCCAGGACCATGTCGCGTACGGTAAATGCCTGGAAATCCTTGACTACTCGAAGAGCAACTGGATGAGTGGGCCATTCAAAGATCTATGGTGTAAATGGAAGTTCAAGGAGTTGAGAACGACTAATCTCGCTGAAGCTTTTCACAGATATGCAACTCCTTGAGTGGCCGAGATCTCGAGAAGTCCAAGTTGTTCCAGACGGTTACAAGTTCTGGCAGGTGTCGATCATCCACCATTGAGCACTGTGATCGACGTTATGAGGGGTCTAAATAATGGAGCAAGGCTGCCCTTATACGTCTTAAGGAAGTAAGGTTTTCGGGAGCCCGAAACGGGTCTTCACTCAACTGACAAGACGAAGTT